GTAAGCCCTTATTGAGACATGCCAACATAGTTAGACGAAAGAAGTGGACAAGTGCTATGACGACCAAGCCTCTGGACTTCTGGAAGACGGTATTTTTCTCAGACGGATCAAGATTCGCTTAATTTTCGGACAGTGGAAGGATATGGGTCTGGAGAATGCCTCACCAAGAGTTTTGGCTCAACAGATTGTAGCCAACTGTGAAGCATGGTGGTTTCAGCGTGATGGTTTGGGGAACTGTTTAGGTTGGTGGGAGATCGAGCTTAGTGGAGTGCGTTGGCAACATAAATTTTGCGATATACGTCGAAATATTGGAGGAAGGACTCTTGCCACTTTATTCCTCGGGTTTCGTGGACAAGAACACAACGTTGTTCCAGGAAGATGGAGCACCATGTCACACTGCTAGAAACACCCAAAAGTGACAGGAAGAAAATGGTATCCAGAAGTTGCCCTGGCCGAGCCAGTCTCCTGACAAGAACGCCATCGAAAACCTCTGGGCCATACTCGATTGGCAAGTCAAGAAACAACCAAAAAAACCAACAATCTAAAATTGACGAGATGATTCTCACGATGCCCCAAAGGATCAACGAACTCCACGAAGTGAAAGGAAGGTCTACCAGATATTAATTAAATTATAAATATATCAATTCATGTGAATATGACTGAAAAATTTCATTTTTTCTGAAAAGGTGGTGTCTATTTCCTTGTGACCACGCTGTGTATAAAATAATAAGGATACACCCCAGTTGTAACTGAAGACACAAAATATAATGTGTAGTAAAGGTTTATTGATTTTTTTAAGTTATGGATCTGATTGATTGATGTGTGGTTTCATTTTAAAATGTTTCAAAATTCACATGGACTACTGTGTGATTAATTTAAGTGAGGTGTATGATATTCCAATGTGACAAGTCTAGTAGTCTTCCATTTGATCAGTATATTACCCATAATGAATTTACATATGAATACAGGTACATGTAGTTGGACTGTAATGTTTCAGCTCAGTACCATTAATGATATATTCAGTAACATTTTTCTAAAGTTTGGGGAGTCCTTACCTTGTAGCACTTTGACCTCATCTAGTTGTTTGTGGCAGCTGTTGACCTTTATAAATCCTACTCAGCAGTTCGTCATTAGATTCATATAGAAATCCAGTGGTGTTAGTAATAGTATATGTATATATGTGTTATGTAAATAAGAAACTTATTGACTCTCAGTTAACAATTCCTTAAAAAAAAGTGCTTATTCTTGGCTTAACAATATCTAGGTAAAAACGTGTAATGAAAGACTGAATTATAGCTTGCATGTGAAAAACACATTTATTCAAACCATATCAAGCATATTTATTAATATGAAATGTTTAAATTTTGCAATTAATAGGACTACTATGAAACAAGAAGAGAGCAGCTAGTATCTGAGTCCGTCCCAACCTCTTCTCATTTAGCTTCTCAACAAGGAGGTGATGTAGTTGACCATGCAGAAAACATAAGCACAGATTTACCTCATGTGGAAGATGAATACACAGTTCGCAAAGATTCTGTTTATAAAATGACTTTGAATGGCTTGAGATATCTGTCTCATGTGAGTTAATCATTTATTTTCTTATAATAACACCAGGAGCTTACTGTTGGAATTTCTGTGATTATATAAAAATATGATTTTGCTATATTTTTATACATTGCTTTCTTTTTCATGGATTTGATAACTAAAATAAATTATTTCATATACTGTCTATTGTATTAGAAAATGTTATATTTGGTTTGGAATAATATGAGTTTTTATAACTACAACAAAAAAACAAAGATGTTGCATTGTTATGCTTTCATTGTTAGCTTGACAATTTTATGTCAATGTACTTGAAATAGTTTTGCAAGTTGAAGCATGGTTGTCAAATAACCTTCATAATTTTGCTACATAAATAGAAAATTAATATAATTGCATAACTTTATTAATGTGTGACAATTTCAAATTTTATTGCTTAGTAAATCAGTGATTGTCTGTGCATTATGATTCATACCTAACCTGTTAAGATTATTATTTATTAAGAAACAATAAGTATAAAATATGATACTTATGTATGGACTTCAGAAGATTTTTAAATATATTGTGCTAATGTTGTTGTTGTTTTGTTGGTAGATTCTTTTAAAGTATCTGGTGAAAATAATTCAAAGTCCACTCCACATAAACTGTAACAAATTAGTTTATTTCTTCCTTAGCAATTCTATGTGGTTGAGCACTGTGATGACTATGTAGGTCTAAGGAAATGCCATAGTAATTTCTCTATGATTATATAAAGAAATAACTTCTTTGTATTATGTAAATCAGTATGTGTGACTGGCAAGACAAATCCAAACATGTAAGGAAACACTGACTGATTCACTCTACAAGCTTACTTAAGTGGATTATTGACTGGTTTTATAACATAATTCAGAGTATATTGGAAAACTTAAATTTCCAGTATAGTACGTAACTTCTGCTTACATCTAGTTTTCAGGATTCAATGCTGCCCTCTGTACGTGGACTTTTACACTTGCTACTAGCCTTGAGGCTCCCACAAGACCAGCCAACATAAGTTCTCACTCAGCTGCTGGTTGGATGTTACTTTTCTGTTCTGTCTCACTGGGCTTGAGTGAAGATGGTAGGGACCCTCCTCCTACATGACAAATTGCTGGTGCTGCCTGTTTCTGATACGGTACATTACCTCCGCCACTAGGAGCGCAACACACTCTCCTGATGCATGAGACTCCCTCTATTAGATTCTACTGAACTATCACTTCTCGTTTGGCAGTGTTATTGTCAAGACATTTTTTGTGGAAATTTTTTTTTTCTACTTCACATTACCTATTTTAAGTGATAACTTACCTTTATTGCTACTTTACTGTTTTGTTTGTTTTCACCGAAGCTTCTGTTTCCACTTTGAAAATGTTTTCATTCACTTCCGGCACAATTATCTAGGCTTTAGGTGTCAGTACTTGATGGAGGAATTGTCACCTTCAGTACATTGGGAGAGTGATTGTAATATGAGTTGACCTTTATCAGTTCTCTAGTTTGGTGGCCCACACACTTGGGACTGCTGACTTTAAACAGATAAGCTGTTAAACTATTATAGCTTTTTTGAGTATTTTGATTTTGATATTATTATTTATAGTTATTTGGTTTCAATAATATACATTTAGTTAGATATGTACCTACTTATTGTGAGGTTAGGGATTTTTAGTTAACGTTTAGTAATATCCTTTTGTACTATAATGTTAGTTTAGGCTTAACATGTGTCTTACCTGTCATTCATCTTACTGGTAAATCGTAAATTAGGTTGAATATATTGTTTCTTCAACAAATACCTTCTACAAAATGTTTTATTTTCAATATACACTTACTTAATTTGACAATATAACGACTTTTAGCTTTTCATAAATAATCAGATTTTATACTTACAATTACTTTTGCTTTTGAGGACCCCTAAGTCAAGGGTCTGCCCAACTGTCTCCCACTATTGCTCGCCTTCCTCCTTAAACTGCCGAACTTGTTCAGGACAATGTATATTTTGACAATTTTCCTCCACTTGATTATGAATTGGCCTTCCCAGGCCTCTACTATGGAGTCTGCTAGACCTACCTCAGCCCTTTTTATATTTTTTTTCCCTTCTTTTTCAGACATTTTATTTTTAGTTCAATGCGACAGAATTCCAAAGTGCAGAGAAGCAAAAAAACAAAAACAATCTGTCTGATGGTAAGCTAAGGCAAAATGAACCAAAGCCCATGGAGGGCAAGGAATGCTAGCACCAGCCTGTATGGTTGGTCAGACTCTGTTAATCCTCTCCCTTTCTCCCTAGCCAAGTGTTCCAGCCTTATCTTCCCCTATCACCTCTCCTACTGGTATTGGTCACCATACACCTCCTTTTTGAGGCATTCTGTTTATTTCTTGGGGATTTGCGTGGGATACCTTCCTCCTCCTTACCTCCATGTTGGTGCAATTGCCATTTTTGGCTCTTTCCATACAAAGTGGCTTCTTTGCTTTTGGGATTTTCTGGGGTGGTATGCTATTTTATACCCAGTTCATTTCCTTTCCACTTCTAATTGTAATTTACAGATGGCTGTTGTCCCCCACTGGTCTCTATTTTGGGGGGTATGTTACTCTTCTGACTTGAGCATCATGTGGGGTATCTTTATTGCTACATTCTTTTTTTTTGTGGCTCATTTGTCTCATTGACTATTGCATTCTTTATTCAAGTTCCATCCCATAATTTACCTGTCCTACATATAAGTGTTCCTCCATTAGTCGTGCATTCTCCATGCAGATTGGAATTCTGTGATTGATCTGTCCCACCTCATTCACTCCTTGGTTTTCCCTTTTCCTTATATTGTCTTTTATCACACTATGGTGGGCTATTTTCTCCAGAACTGAGGATGCCCATAGTTGATGTTTTGTATTTTGATGCCCACTTTCTTAATTTTCATTCCTTATGATTCTGTCTTAAGTTTGTTCACCATGGGGTTGGGTACTTGTTTCATTCCTTGCCCTTAGAGCTTCTTTCAGATCTTTATGTCTTTGTCTCTAGTTCCTCATCACAAGTTTCACAAGATCACTCATAATATTTTCCTCAAGATATATTTGCTTTATTCATATGCCTATTCTGGACCGTACTAACCCATGGACTTCATGCGTAAAGCAGTACCACATCCCCTCGGATAAACCCCGACAGAGATGAAGCATCAGATTGAAGGACATCTCATCATCTACACAGAAAACTACACCCTACTCTCAACTGAATGATTTTATCATCATTTGTATTGTATATCATTATCATATTCAGGTGAAAGCCTTCATGGTCCACCACCCCAGCAGCTTGGAACTGGAAAGTGGTAAGGACTCCTATATTCCACTGGAAGAAGAAGGTGGAAGAAATTGTGGTGGAGAGTCCGAAGGAATGTCAACACTAGATACAGTGCAATGGGAGACCATGAAAACCCTATTTTGAAAAGCAGACCACTCCTGATTTATTCAAACTAATGAATATCATGGATGGACAGCTATCCCCTTGCTTTGGAGTGAACCATCAAAATGCAGGTAACCCTTTCAAATGTGATCTCTCATTTTACCCCCACATAGATGTTGGTTCCCAGTAGGTGGGTTTTGGATTCAGAGCTGAACCAATCAACATAAGTCCTCACACATCTGTTATAGGTGTCTATGTTTCTTCACTCAATTATACTTTTGTTCCTCCATCCGTGTTGTGGGTCATGGTGGTGGTACTTGCTAATTAATATGGTTCTTCCTCTTATGTTATCTCTTGATGGTTTTATTATACTGAAGATGTTATTGTGCTAGGAGCATTTCCTGTCCAATTGTTTTTGAGTGAGATAGTTTACCTTACAGAGACATCTTTACTATAGTGATCGTTTGAATGTTGGGTTCCTGGATCAGTCAAACAATTTATCACATTGCTATCATATGTCCCATTCATAGATCATGGAGTACGAGATTCCCTTTCTGCTGAACTTGAGGTAAAGATGGTATGATTCTCTTTCCTACTCCCACCAGATGGCTGAGTTTTGGATTGTAGTTGACTTGTTAGCAGTATAATCCTCTTTCCTATCCTCATATGAATGTCTGCTCCCAGTGACTGGGTTTTGAATTGTAGTTGACATACCAACAGTATGATCCTCATCCTACCCCCACGTGGATGTCAGTTCACGGCGGCATGGGTTGTGGATGCAGTTGACTTGCTGTGTATGGTCCATTGTGCCCTAGCCACACTATACCTAGGGGCACATCCTTTTACTTTTACCCACTTTCCAGTACTCTATGGGATTGAGATTTGTTATATGATGGTTTGGACCCCTATCCAACTATTCTTCTCTCCCATAGGGATGTTCTCCTTCCTTTTTCTGCCTATGTCTGTGATACTACATTTCACACTGGGCAAAGAGTATACCTGGTACAGATGTAGTGTGGTCTCCCATGTATGATCTTTGACTCCAAAGATCTCCTCTTTGGGAGTGTCCTTTAGACATTTTTGAAGGATGCTTCATTCTTTCCCTTGCACTGGTCCCTCCACCTATTCAAAGTGGGATTATAGCTATTTAAATGAGAGGAGATAATGTACCATATCAAAAGTTATAATATTCCTATACTGAAAATGTATTTCCCAAAGGTACTTACCTCCTCTCACACGTCCCACCCTTCCTCTCCTCTGAAAACTGGTGCTTCCATTTTCTGCCAAAACTCGAAGTGATAATTCGGTAGAATCAAATAGAGGGTGTCACATGCATCAGGAAAGGGTTGTCACATGATGATTTACATGCAAGATGCATTTGAACCAGTTGATTGTAAGGTACAGGGAAGCTCAAGGCTTGTGGCATGCTAAAAATGTTTTGAATATAGAGAGCAACATTGAATGAAAATAGCTATTTATGTGAGAGACTAGGTAAGTACTATTGGAAATGCATTTTAAGTATAGGAAAATTATAACTTTTGGACAGGAGTTGACCCACCACGTAATGTCTGAAGCACCCTAACCACACTGCTCATATAGCTCTTATGAAAGTCTGATGCAGATTCTGGACTGTGCTTGTATCATT